GTGGAAATTCGTAATGGATCCTGGCTTTTTTACCCGCAGTACTTATATAGCTGACAGTAAAGCATCATCAGCGGGGCCCTGACCCGTTTCAAAGCACTGATTCTTGATTTGTCGGGTCCTCTTCAGTGAAAAATTGAAAACGCTCACAAAATGCTGCAATGTTAACTGTTTTTTCGGGTTTTCTTCATTTTTTCGTTATCTCCCCCTTGTATCTGTGCATCGAGCTCTCCCAAACATTTCCTCTGGCCCTCCCTGTCTTCCATCATTATCTTCTAAGGCTCATTCACATTTCTTCATTCATATCTTCAAAAACCATCACCGGGAATCTCCTTGCCACTGAACAATTTTGAACCCCTTACCTCAAGAAAGGGGAAAACCAGTGAAAAAATTTTAACTACGAAGGCCATAACTTTTTCCCCCACCTGCATTTAATGTTGATTGGGAACTTCTTCCATCCTTCTACATACTGTTTCATTGCAATGTTAGATTTATTCCAGAAGTTTGGGTACCCAAATTGGAGTCTGAGTCCACTGATGCAATATTTTTTTTCAAAATTTTTTTTGTTAGTTACATTTGAATAACTTAAAACCCTCCCGATCCAGTGTTGAATTAGAAATCAATCAGTCAACAATCAAGTTTATTCTCTTAAGGATTACAATGCAGTGTTTACAGATTTTAAAATTTTTGGTGGTTTAATGTTTTAAAAATACAAATTTACGGGGGGCCCTAGGACACCAAGCAGGGCTAGGATTTCGGGCAAAAACTGAGTTTAAATTTTAAAACTTTAAATTTTTTACAGTTAAGGGTTTTAAGGCAAAGTGACTCTTTATATTTGTGATTTTTAGAAATGTGAAGGTTTTTTCTTTGGCAAAAAATAATGTGTCAAATTTTGGAGTATTGGGGCAAACTTATGACTAGTTAGGATTCATTATTTTAAAATTAAGTTCGTATTTCTGGTTTATAGTAAAAGGGTGGTGATTTTAAGGGGAAACCCACCAGGGTTTACATGATTTATTGAGGGGGTGTTCAGGGAGTAAGATTTTTTAAGGGTATTTTGAAGGTAAAAGGGGTTCTGCATTCTGATTCTCGGGTAGGGTTTTCCCAGATTTTAGGGCCTTGACCACATTAAATTTTTTGAAAATATTTAGTCGGAAGGGGGGAATTCAAGAAAGTTTGTGTCGGGTTTTTATGCCTGTGGGTCCTTCACAACTATCAAGAAAGCTTTTTGGGTAAAGGGTTTAATTTTGGAATTTAAGGTCCTGTAATGTAGACGCCGTAAAAGTGTGGATTTTCTAAAACGGGTAGAAAGTTAGATCTATAAGGGGGGGGGGGGAGGGTTGCCGGGGGGGGATTGTTTTATTCTTACTGCACTTTTTGTTGGGTTTTTTTGGGGCTTTAGATGTGTTGCTGCAGTTGACCCCAAGCCAAATAGCAAAGGGAGGTATGGATAAATTAGCGAAGGGTATAGTGCAAAAGGGGAGTTTGCGGCACAATATCGTATCTTGGAGAAATCTTTTTGGATATTTTTTTTTGTTATTGTTGGATAGGGGGTGCTGAAATTTAGTTTTTGTCGGGGGATAACCTGGAATTTGCCCTCTTTATTTCTGGCAATTAGAGTGTCGTCGCTTAATGTTAATTGTGCAACCCCCGCTCTCTACCAAACATAAGCATGGGTTTTTGTCGTTTTAAGTGAAAGTTTATTGGCTGTCATCCAAGTCAAAATTTTTGAGCGTCCCATGAAAAGGGTGTTGGGGGTGGAAAATGGGTGGGAATGATGTAAGTATTCGTCCCCCAAAAGAAGGGTTTCAGGTTTTGGGGTACATTTAAAAGATAAATTAATGAAATGGGGGAAAGCAGGGGCCCAAAGGACATTTCCCTTTGGAACTCAGTATAAAAAGGGGCCGTGTTGATGAGGCGTTTTCTTAAGGGGTGAAATGATACCTTTTTAGTAAGGTAGGTTTTTGAAATATAAAGCGTAGGGCCCTTTATCCAAAAGGGGTCAATTTGGGAGTAGGATGCCGTTGTCTACGGGTTCAAACGCTTTTCTTATCAATAAAAATTCCTAGCAGATTTTCCTTATTTTCCAAAAGCTGTGAAAGCAGATAGCAATTTTTTAAACAATTGCATCATTAGTGCTTTTATTTTCCAATCCAAATTGGCGGGGTTTTTGAGTATGTTTTTGTGCCTTTATAAATAAATGTAGTCTCCTGTGCACGAGTTTTCGAAGATTTTGATAGCAAGATAATCTGATATTGGCCTAATTGTTTACATCTTTAAAAGGGGCACCACCTTATGTGCGTGGGGGGCGAAGGAGAAAGTGGTTTAAGATAAACACACTTGTGGAGGAAACACAAATATTGTCAGACTGTGGTAAGGGAGACCCAGCCAGCCCGGGTTGCCCCTTTTTAACCTATCCGTGGACTAGGAAATTTCAGAGGTGCTCACGCCACATGCGCATTACTGACGTCACACAAACTATCCCTAGGGGCCCCAAAGATCATGTATATAAAACAAACGGGTGGTTCAATGATACTCGATAAGAACATATACATTAAAGATCACAACATGCTGCAGCTCGTCATGTTACGTATGCTCTCGCCATTTCACTACTATGTATAAATGAAAGGGAGGTGGGGCTCTGGGGTGATTCTTACAATAACAAAGACAAAATAACTTAGAACTAAGGATGGTACAAATGGGTTTTAAAGTAATTTATGTAAACATAAAGATTTAACAATGAATTACAATTATAAAACAATTTATTGTTTCAATAAAGGATGGAATTGATCGTTTTTTCTGTATTCATGCCTCTAAGGATTCTGAGGGAAAAAATTTAAAAATTTTTTTCAAAAGGGGAAAGAATTTAAAAGCAAAAAGGGAAACGGCGCGCACAGATTTTATGCTAAATTTCAGAAATCGGGGAACGGAACACAAAAAAAATAATTCCAAAAAATGATCCTAATAAAAAATCACACAGTTGGGGAAATTATTATCTTGGGCATCTAATTATACAGGCTATTTTAAAATTTTAAAAAAAACCCAAACCTTTTAGAGTAAGATTACATAGCAGAATGGTTATCATCTCTGGAGTAGAATTCCTTTGCAAAGGGTAACACATCGCATCATGTGACGCACACAAACTGTACCTAGGCCTAGCAAGAGATCATGTATAAAAAATACGGGGGGACAATGAACCAGATAAGCATACATATACATAAGGGGTCAGCAAATAGTGAAGCCGATTTTATATTGACTTTTGCTTGCATGACTAGTTTGTGTGACGCCTGATTCATTGTGCGGAGTACTCTGAAACTTCCCCTACGGGTAGGTCTACAAAGCAAAAAGGGAGGGTGGGCCTCCCTTACACATTGACAATATATAGTGGTTACCACAACAAGTTGTTTTTCTTTAACCATCTATCTCCTTACGAACCCCCACCATATGATGGTGTAACCCTTGCTGTTTTGAGTAGTGTCGGGGAAATGCAGTTTTTTTGTGACTTGTTTTAAAAAATATGTAATAGCATGCGAAAGGACATGGGCCCCTCGCTTGTAAATAACGGGCATGAACGATTTCCCCTTTTTTTTTGAGTGACTTTATAATCGCGGGGACTTCCCTGGGGTCAGTTGGGACAAAATAAGGGAATTTTGGAAAATTCCCCTCAGGGAGTCCCCGGGACGGGGGTATAAATACAACTTTTTCATTAAGGTTTTCATCCACAAAGCTTTTGGATGAGTACAGGATTTTCAAGAAAAAAGCCCCGAAGCAAGGTTCTTGCTGTGCAGGAAAACTTGACTTAGAATAAAGTGATGCTTAACCAGTCAAAAAATATTTCCTCGTCATCCTGCCGACGGTTTGACCTCCAAATTACGGGAAGGTGTTTTTTATTACACCTTTCAAAGCCAAAAATTCTCAGGCGGTAAATAAACCCTGGGCTTACCTTTAAATACCTGACAAGGTGCAAGGGGCAAGGGTCAGCGATCTTTGCTGTCTGAACCCGTCCTTTTCTCTTGGGTGACTGATACAAGTTTGTTTGGGATTTTCTTTCCAAAAAAAATTGTCTCATTAGCATTAAAAAATTGAGTGGGTCATAGCTCTCTCAAAAAATTTCCTGCAATTCAGCGGGAAAAAACTTTCTGTTTTAATTTAACGAAGCACTTCCCAGAAAAAAATAAATATTGTGTAAATTATTATCAAATTAAAAGTTTTGGAACCCAACCTGTGCTAAAATACATTGTTTTTAGGCCTTCCTTCTTATCACACACGCCTTAAGCAACTGTAAGGCCTTTTCCCAATTGGTTGAAAAATTTAAATGGTGCACTTTTTTTTCGATTTTGTTCGATCCCCTTCAAAGTAAAAAGTTTTCTGTTTTTTTTACTTTTTGTGATCTACAGTCTTTTTTCATGAATGACTTTTTGGGTTTTCATTACCAAGCTTGTAATTTTACCTCGTTTTTAAATTTCACGAACTGATGCTTCATTTTTGGGCTAGGCCTCACTTATCCACCACACTGGCCACTCTTAAGCTTATTAATACTCATTATCTTTGTAATTTCCCGACTTACCGCTTTAACCTTTTCTTGCTATTTCAGAAACACTTGAGACAGTGTAGGCTTTGGGAGATTTAAGTTATAGCAATTAAAAAAAAGTATCTTGACAAACATGGAGCAGGGCCCGAAGAGCGTCCTACAGTAAAGAGCCAAATGAAGGTAGGGGGGGGGTGAGGGTGGGGGGATTGGGGAGTAGGGTTTCCCTCCCCTGGGCCAAAATTTTTTTTCCTCTCCCGCAAAAATGAACCCGGTTAAATTTAAATTTTTTGAAATGTTAAATAATATTGTCTGCAAATTTTTCAATTTTTGCTAACCCATCATCCAAAAAAACTATGCTAAATCGGCTACTGTAATTAGAAATTTTAATAATACCACAAAAAATCCTTTTTTTTTAGGCATAAAATGAAGCTTACCTACACCATCAGAAAAAACCCCTCCTGATGCAATCAACAAAAGGGACAGCGATTCTTTTTGCACCTTCGGGTTTCCCAGCTTCCAACAATATCTGCATTAAAAAAAAAAAATTTAAAAAATACACAACCAACTCATTATTTTTAAATTTTTCCCAAAAGCGGCCATCCCCACCAAAACAGTATACTCAAAAAAAAAAAAGACACACTTTCCCCTCATTTTCACAATCTCGGGCTTTGCAGAGGCCCAGTTGACAGTTTTATGTCATTTCCAAACAACAAATATGCAAGCCCCTCCTTTAAAGTGCAGGCCTTTTACTTCCCACCTCCAGGACTAAGTCCAGCAACTGGTTTCCCTTTAATCCCCACAAATATTACCTTTCTCACATTCCAACAAACCCTAAATCCCAAAAACCCTTTGTCTCCATTTTACTCCAAATTTTAAAACGCCCCACAATACCCGCGGATTTAACCTTTCACTTTTCGGGCCCTATATAGCTTACGACCAAAGTTTCGATGTATTAATATCTAAATTCTAATGGCTTCAAATCAAGGGGAGAAAGCTGATAGGCCCATAAGGGGAGAATGGGTCTCCATGGTCAGTGTGCGCACTCTAAAAAAGACGGGGGGGGGGCCAGTGGTGCATTTAAAATGCCATTTCAGTATTTCCTTTTTCACTTTCCTAGCAGTAAGAAATATCTGCTCCCCCGGACTCTGGGCCTCTTCTCTTCCCAAGTGATAGGGTCTAACACAGATGGAATGTCATAAAGATGAATTTCATGGTTTGAGGGTTTGTGACCGAAAGCATGCCCCCTTGGGGCCCCTTTTCTTCCAAGTGATTGATCTAAACAGATGGGAAATTCAGTGAAGTAATTTCATGGTTTTGAAAGTTTGTGACCGAAAGCAACCCAGATACCAGAAGAAAGAAAAAAGAAAGAAAAAAAGAAAAGAAGGAAAAAAAAAAAAGAAAAGGGGGAAAGGAAAAAAGGGAAAAAGAAAGGGGAAAAAAAAGAGAAAAGAAAAAAAAAAGTATAGAAAGAGAAAGAAAAAAAAAAACAAATAGAAAGAAAAAAAAAAGGAAAAGGAGGAGAAAGAAACAAAAGAAAGAAAAAAGAAGAGAAATAAGAAGAAAGGAGAAAAAAGATAGATAAAAGGGGAAGGGTGGAAGGGAAAAAGCACAGACTCCATTGTGTTGACAGGTGGAGGGAAATGAAAAATGATTAATCATATTTTTGACAGCTGCCAGACCCCCGACTCGGACATTTTTGAAGCCCCCCCCCCAAAACACACACAACCTGAAGAAATAGCAGTTCGTGAAATGTCCTGACTATAAATGTTATATATATTACAGTAACCAGAAGGGGGAAGGAAGAAAAATGAAAAAAGAAATAATGAAAAAAGAAAAAAAAAAGAAAGAAAGGTATGGTGGTAAAAGGAATGATGACACAGGCCATTTACCTAGGATAACTACTTAACACAACTGTCTGCTACTACTTTGAAGAAAACTGCTCGGATGAGGTGTTTTGTCTGTGCACATACAAAAAAAATGCCCACAAAAATGCAGACACCTTTTATTGTGAGAGTGTAAAACACCATTTTTTATGACACCATGTTTTTAAAGAGTTCCAAAGCTGCAAACTTCAGGGCTGCCCAGTGATTGTACATTTGTATATGTGTTATAGAACAATACGTAGTAATAAAAAAAAAATTGTATTGTTTATGTAAACAAGCTCTGTAAACAATATATTGATAATTACGTTTGTGCACTTATTGTGTTGTATACAATGAGTGTATATATGTACATTGCACCTTATTTTGGTCTCACAGGCCACATAAGTTACCTGAAAAAATAAGTAGTGGAAAAAAGCAAGAAACCTTGAAAGGGAGCATAAAAAAGTTAACCGGGCGAGAGGCATTTGGCCGCTGTTTCCTATTGGCCCATTTTCTTCAAATTTACATCCTATATCTCATAAGTAAAGACACAAAAAGAAAAAATTAGGTTAAAACAATCAGCAAAAAAAACCTACATTTGGTAAGAAAAAAACATTTTTTTTTTTTTTTTCGAATATTTTTCAAAATTTAAAAGACTTTCAAAATGGCTTGCAACAGTGAGATTTTGGGACTTTGAAATTACAAAAAACCCTAAAACTTTGAAAATTTGGCCTCTGGGCCCCTTTTAGGGGCCCGAGGCCAAATTTTAAATGCAACCAGGGTCAAAGAAGTTTAACCCTTTGACTGTTTTCGACATATAAATCGTCTTACGACCAAAATTTCGAGTAATATACTAATAATTCTAGCGGCTTAAATCAAGTGGGGAGAAAGGGTGGAGGCCCACATGTGAGGAAGGTCGTGTGGTCATGTGCCCCCAAAAAAAAAAATCCCGCAGCACACATTTCATAAGAAAAAAAAAAAACCTGATCGTTTTTTTGGGAATAAAAAGCCGACTTTGAGGGTTTTTTTTCGTATAGTATTTACGTTTTTATTCCGTTTTATGGGCTAGTTTATAAAAAGGAAAACTATTTCAGAAATAGAGATGATTTTCATTACTTTTACGATGAAAACGACCTTGAAAATGAGCTCAAATACGGAAATGTTCATTTTTACCAATGTTCAAGAGTAAATAAATCACCCACATCAATACACTCAAATGGGGAGCTAATTTCTTTCCCCCTAGTGTACGAAATTTTTTTATACCATTTTTACAATAACATCGTCTGCATAACAGAAATTTTTTATTTTTTTGTATGAATAAAAAACAAAATAGAAAGCAAAAAATAATATAAGAGGGGCCCAGAATTGACTAATGAACAGGATATGTTTTTTAGTGCCCGAAGTCTACCTTGTTTATTCTGGACCCTATTTTGGAAATTGGCATTTTTTTTTTTTTTGTGGAAATTGGCCAAATTGCCCTTTCTACCACCAATTGGGTATCCAAATTAGTAAAAAGGGAGGTTTCTTGTGCTCCTGATAGATAAAATGGAGTTTTTAAAGAATAGCTAGAGTTTGGTCAATGGAAAAATGGAATTGGCTGAAAAATTGGGCTCAAAATCGGGGAAATCGCGATACCACATTCGCCGAGACCGCTAATTCGCGGGGAGCTAATTTCCCCGAGTTTTCGACCAAATTTTTGAATTTTGGTGTCATTACCATCGGGGAAAAGATTTTCATCATTTTATAAAAAAAATAATTTTTTTTTTTTAAAATTGAGCGAAAGAAAGACATTTTTAGAGAGGGGCTGAAACAGTCAAAGGGGTTTTAAAAAAAAAAAATTTTTATTTTTTTTTTGAAATGTAAAAATCTTTTTTTTGAAGGTAATAAAAAAAAAAATGGAAAATTTTATGGAAAACGCAAAAAAATTTTCCTCACAAAATTTTTGATGTTCAGCGATATTTACGAAACGGCCGATTTTTTTCGACTTTGACTCCCATTTTTGGCCCCAAATTTCATTATTCCAGTCAAACCAAATTCTTTTGCTATTTTTACTAGCAAAAAAACTGCTTTCTATCGGGGGGCACAAAAAATCGCCAATCAAAATTTTGAACACAAAAAAAGTGATCGGAATTTGGTAATTTGGCCAATTTTTAAAACAAATTCAAAAAATTCCAATTTTTAAAAAAAAGGGGCCAGAATAAACAAGTAGGTTTCCCGCATAAACTAACTTTCCCCTGTTCATTAGTTATATTTTGAGGCTTTACAAATAAATTCCAGTTTTTTATTTTTTTATTACATAATGAATTTTTATTCAAACCAAAAAATAGAAGAATTTCTGTTTGCAATATTGTAATAATTTTATAAATCATCACCACTTTTTAAAGTATTTAGACCCACCAGCTGGGATGTAAAGATATGTGAAGTTGTTTGTTTTCTCTTGAACATCGGCAAAAATTAATATTTCCGGCTTTTACTAATTTCAAGCCATTTCCAGTTGGGAAAACCCAAAACAAAATCATCTTTTTTCTGTAAAAAGTCTTCCATTTTTATTCAAAAAGAGACAAAGAAAAAGCATATACAACTATAAAAAACATGAAAAAAACGCAAAGTCGTGTTTTAAATTCGAAAAAACACAGTTCCCGTTTTTTTTCTCTCATTTTAAACACTGGTGTGCAGGATTTGTTTTTATGTGGTGCACAATACCCCATAATTATTCTCCTATCTAGGCCCAAAATTTTCCCCTCCGCTTTTTTTAAAGTGAGCTGGCTCATGGGGTAGATCATGGTTTGGGCCCCGAACGTAAGCCGTAATCACGGATGGCCCTGAAAGGGTTTTTTTCTGACAGAGAATGCTGGAAATCTTGTCAACTTCTTTTGTTTATTCACTAAAGGGAGTTGTTAGAAAGATTTTAAAATCAGTGAACAGGTATGTGACGGGAATAATATGCCTGGGCAGCATTTAAAAATCGAGTAGATGTAGGGGAGGGGGTAGGTATGTAGCCCAGGGGGAACAAATACCCACATTATTATTTTAAAATTTAATTATATTAAGTGTATAAAACACTGTGCTGGCATGCAGGTACACATTAAAATCATAAGAGGTCTTTTTGTCTTTGAAAATGCCCTATTAAAATGATAATAATATCGCTCAGGATAACACTCTGAAACAGAAATTGAAAATGTAAAATAGACATTTTTGCTTAATCCCTCTAAAATACACCCCACAGTAAATAGATTAAAAATTTAGATGTGGTAGCCGGCGACTTGTGGGCTTTTTGGTAGCCCGGCGACTTTTAGGGGGTTGTGTAGCCAGGCACTTGTAGGGCTTTTGTAGCCAGGGAAATGTAGGACTTTGGGGGGCCAGGTGACTTGTAGTTCAAAATCAAGACAATGTGTACACAAATGTTCCGGGGGGTAACTGAAAATTATTCTTTTCGTTACCTTCAAACAGGGCTGATTTTTTTTTTTTTGAAGATGGGTTTATGAGAATGAGTGGGGGGAGTTTTTTTTTGGGGGGGAAAAGGATTAAAAGGCATTAAAAAAATTTTAAGAGAAAAAAATTTATTTATATACAAAAATGAGTTACAAGCTCAGTATGGAATGAATTAAACAACTCGTAAGTAAGGTACCCCGGGATTAGGTTAACCTTTCCCAAAATGCCTCACAGATATGGCTTTCTTTGTACCAATTAAATTATAAATGTAAACACCACGTAACCTTTGCAAAAAAAAAAAAAATTTTTTTTTTTTTTTTTTTTATAATGAAAAGCTATGAGCACACTGAGAGACAACGCAATAAGTGTCAGGGGCCCAAGACTGTTCAACTGCCTCCCAGCATACCTAAGGGGGATTACCAAAAGACCCATGGCTGTCTTCAAAAAGGCACTGGACAGGCACCTAAAGTCAGTACCTGACCAGACGGGCTGTGGTTCATACGTCAGTTTGCATGTGGCCAGCAGCAACAGCCTGGTTAATCAGACCCTGATCCACCACAAGGCCTGGTCTCAGACCGGGCCACGGGGATGTTGACCCCTGAAACTCTCTCCAGGTATACTCCAGGTATCAAAATACATAAATTTGGAAGCTTGCAAATTTATGGGTCACTGTACATAAGCATCCATATGGGGGCTCATGGCTTCGTTGGTAGCATCCTCAGCTCACACACTGAGGGACCAGGATCATTCCTCACACTTGCTGCCAGTGTTCACGTAGCAATAAGTAGGTACTTGAGTGCTAGCTGACTGTTGTGGCTGCATCTGGCAGAGAAGATTCAAGGACCCCAGTGGAAATAAGCTTCTCATATGATGCACTGACTTTACTGAGTTATCATGAGTGGCAAACTCTCTGGATTAAAAATCTAAACATAATCTTATCTTATTTGTAATATTTAACTGCCATCTTACATATATGAGAAAGATTTAGCACTTAGTTCTGATTATAATAATAAAGAGACAGAAAGAAAAGGCCAGTAATTCTACCTGGGTGCAAAACATTAACAGGCTTCCATTCCACACTTAATAACAAAACAATAATGTTGTACCTCCATGGGTGATTGCTGTTTACCAACCTACTTTTGTCTAGTTATACATTAGGAACCATTTGTCTGACCATAATGTTATAGATTCTCTGAGTTTAAGGACACAACTAAGGCCCAGTACAGCAGTATCTACAAGTTGTAACATTACATGCATCAATATATAGTACAGTGATACCTTGGGATACAAACTTTAACAATTATGTAAGTGTATTTTTGTAAGTGCTTTTGTAAGTGTATATTTGGGGGTCTGAAACAGAATTATCTAATTTACATTATTCCTTATGGGAACAAATTCGTTTGGTACTTGAACAGATCAGCACTTGAACAGCCTTCTGCTACGAATTAGGTTCATATCCTGAGGTACCACTGTATTTGAAAATATACATGTAAACACAGACCTTCATTATCTCTAACTTTTTCTGACATGTTGCAACAAAGATGGGAGTTTGTCCTTTCACATCTTCCAGCTCTATGTCTGCACCTGCTGACACAAGCACTTCTACACATTCAGGGTTTCCTCCTGTTCACATGAAAAAACAAAGTTAATACTCCTAGAGAACACGGTCTAGTCTACTATTCTCAGACTTCACTGAGATGCAGTATACAAATCATATCTATACATAGTTTATTACCCAATATCTTTATACTGTAGTACAAAGTTTGTGACCAATCCAACAGTTGGTCACAAACTTAAAATTTTCTACCTTCCAAACTGCAGCATTTATATCTAATTTAGAACGCAGGCACTGTATGCTCCACCTCAAGGATTCAAGCACAGCTCGCTGGTTTCCCTGAATTCCTTCATATATGCTACCCTGCTCACACTCAAACACTGCATCAGGACATGAAAACCACTAGTCTACACTCAATTTGATCTATAGCATTTACACAAGCCTGTTGGATGTTCAAGCCCCTAGCACTCAAAACCTCCTCTATCCCATCCCTCCAACCCTACCTGGGAGGACACCTACTACCCTTCTTTTCTTCCATCCCTGATTTATACCCTCTTAACCATCCTATTCTGCTCCATCCTCTGTAAATGCCAAAACCACCTCAACAAACCTTTCTCAGCTTCCTTGTCTCCTGAATATGCATCTAAAGCTGACCTTCTCAATTATGACTTCCTCATTATTATTAATGACTAAGCTTCACCTTAACATGTAATACTCAGTGCCACTTGGCAATGACTGTCAGGTCATCCTGACAGTTATGAAATATAAACACATTGTAACCTTTGCAAAGAAATAAACTTTTGTTTCGTCATCACCTCTTGATTGATTATTCCATTTATTAGAAAGCAGCCAACTTCAATTTAGACACCCTCAAGGCCTTGGTATGCTTACTGTTTCCAGCCTCCTCTCTGACAGTCCCATCTTCAATATTTTCTCTATACAATGGACCCCTGGTTTGCGTTATTAATCCGTTCCTGAGAGCTCATCGTAAACCAAAATTACGTATCACAAACCGAATCAATTTTCCCCATAAGAAATAACGGAAATCAAATTAATCCATGCAAGACGCCCAAAAGTATGAAAAAAAAAAAATTTACCACATGAAATATTAATTTTAATACACACAAACTGACACTTACCTTTATTGAAGATCTGGTGATGATTGATGAGATGGGAGGAGGGGAGTGTTGGTGTTAGTGTTTAGAAGGGGAATCCCCTTCCATTACGACTTGAGGTAGCAAGTCCTTTTCCGGGGTTACTTCTCTACTTCTTTTAATGCCACTAGGACCAGCTTGAGAGTCACTGGACTTCTGTCGCACAACATATTTGTCCATAGAGGCCTGTACCTCTCGTTCCTTTATGACTTTCCTAAAGTGGTTCACAACATTGTCATTGTACAGGTTGCCAACACGGCTTGCAACAGCTGTCTGAGGGTGATTTTCATCAAAAAAGGTTTGCACTTCAAGCCACATTGCACACATTTCCTTAATCTTTGAAGTAGGAAACTTCCTCAGTTTCTCTATCCCCTCCTCCGAAGCAGTTTCCTCAGGTCTGGCCTCTTGCTGTTGAAGATGATCTAGCAGCTCATCAGTGGTTAGTTTGTCATTGTCCTCCTCCACCAACTCTTCCACATCCTCCCCACTAACCTCCAGCCCCAAGGACTTCCCCAATGCCACAATGGATTCCTCAACTGGCATACACTTCTCAGGGTTAGTCTCAAATCTTTCAAAATCCTTTTGTCTAAACATTCTGGCCACAGTTTTTTCCAAACAGAGTTCAAGGTCCTCTTAGTCACTCCCTCCCTCGCCTTACCTATAGGGTTTATACAATTGAGGATATTAAAGTGATCCTTCCAAAACTCTTTTAGAGTCAATCGAGTGTCTGTGGTCACTTCAAAGCACTTTTGAAACATAACTTTTGTGTACAGTTTCTTGAAGTTGGAAATGACCTGCTGGTCCATGGGCTGCAGGAGAGGAGTGGTATTAGGAGGCAAAAACTTGACCTTAATGAAGCTCATGTCCATAGAAAGTCGCTCTGCCAAGTCTGAAGGATGACCAGGGGCACTGTCTAATACCAGGAGGCACTTAAGGTTTAATTTCTTTTCAATTAGGTAATTTTTCACAGTGGGGGCAAATGCATGGTGTAACCAGTCATACAAAAAGTCCCTAGTGACCCATGCCTTACTGTTTGCCCTCCACAGCACACACAAATTAGCCTGTTTTTCATTTATCCACACCAATAACAGTCTCTCAACATCTTCTAACACTTGCGGTTGCTGTTTCATAATCACAGTTGCACCTTTTGCAAGAACAGCTTCCCTGATTGCCATTTTCCTGGCCACTATAGTAGCGATGGTTGATTGGGGTTTCGTATACAACCTGGCCAGCACCGACACACGCACTCCACTCTCGTGCTTTTCAATTATTTCTTTCTTCATTTCAATAGTCATTAGCACCCTTTTTCTCGAAGGGTTGGCACTAGAAGCTTTCTTGGGGCCCATGGTGACTTATTTTGCAGAAACAAGCACCAAAAACACTGTGATAATATGGAATGTACCGAATGTATGCTTAGATGCTAGCATACTGGCTGGCTCGCTTGTAAACACTGGCACGCATGGGGCAGTTCAGGCCACATGTGGATGCGTCTCGGACGAATCGCGTATACCGGGTTTTTTAACACGAACTGAGGCAAAATTTTTGCGTTAAAATGTATCGTATACCGGATTTAACGTATACCGATGCCTTCATATACCGGGGGTCCACTGTATTTTCTTAAATAACATAAATTAGCTGCCTCAAATGACTCTCCATTCTTTCTGCTGATGTCCTGTCCTCAACATTTCCAACTTTCCCTCTTTACCATCTCTTTTGTCTCTGCTGTGGAGTACTAAATGACTCTTATAGTTTACCTTTTCCATGAATATAATACAATTATAAAAAAAAATTCACCCTAACACTGTTATATGTTTTGTACTACCTCATTATTATAAATCTAATTAATCACTTCAGTTACCTAACTTTTATATCAGTATGCAATAAGGTACATTAACCCTTAAACGGTCCAAACAGATCGACGTTCAAATTCGTAGTGCTACAAAAGTAGATCTACTTTTTTTTACATATTTTCAAATATAACAAAAAAAAAATGTAGATAAAAGTTTTTTACACGTTTTCACATATAAAACAAAAAAAAAAGATCTACATTTTTTTTCATACTTTCAGATGTTGAAAAAACGTATAATTACGTTTGGACCATTTAAGGGTTAAAATGTACTGCTCCATAACCTGTGCCAATATACAGTAAGAATTAGGCTTAGTCTGCCTGAAATGCCTAGGCATGCTAGTGGCCTTCTTTGTAATTAATATTTTAGAATATGTAAACCACACATTATAAGCTTTGCAAGGAAATAAACATTTTCATTTTCATTTAATCTTCATTTTCAACATCTAACAAACCAGCATTTTCCCAGTGCTCCATCTCTTTTAACATTATCCATGCTATTGTATTTTGAGCGCCTTTCTACCAACTGGGTTTAAAATACAGTGGAACCTTGGTATACGACCAGCTCCCTACTCTAACAAAGCACTCGACCAAACAAATACGACCTGCCAGAACTTTGCTTACTGTAAACTATTTCGTGTTTCTTTGCATTTTTTTTTTATATTATTTGCATAAACAAGTCACCATGGGGACTACGACGATTAGTGATAACAGCCAACCAAACAGAAAATTGGCTGGGAAGAACTTGTTCGATACTCAAACAAAGCGGCACTCGAACAGCCTTCTGGAATGAATTAAGGGGAAGCGTCACGAGCGGTGTTCCACAGGGGTCAGTGTTGGGCCCCCTGCTGTTCACAATATATACATAAACGACATAGATGAGGGCATAAAGAGCGACATCAGCAAGTTTGCCGATGACACCAAAATACTGTAGGCCGTCGAATTCATTCTGACGAGGACATTAGAGCACTCCAGGAAGATTTGAATAGACTGATGCAGTGGTCGGAGAGGTGGCAGATGCAATTTAATATAGACAAATGCAAAGTTCTAAATGTTGGACAGGACAATAACCATGCCACATATAAACTAAATAATGTAGATCTTAATATTACGGATTGCGAAAAAGATTTAGGAGTTCTGGTTAGCAGTAATTTGAAACCAAGACAACAGTGCATAAGTGTTCGCAATAAAGCTAATAGAATCCTTGGCTTCATATCAAGAAGCATAAATAATAGGAGTCCTCAGGTTGTTCTTCAACTCTATACATCCTTGGTTAGGCCTCATTTAGATTATGCTGCACAGTTTTGGTCACCGTATTACAGAATGGATATAAATGCTCTGGAAAATGTACAAAGGAGGATGACAAAGTTGATCCCATGTATCAGAAACCTTCCCTATGAGGATAGACTAAGGGCCCTGAATCTGCACTCTCTAGAAAGACGTAGAATTAGGGGGGATATGATTGAGGTGTATAAATGGAAGACAGGAATAAATAAAGGGGATGTAAATAGTGTGCTGAAAGTATCTAGCCTAGACATGACTCGCAGCAATGGTTTTAAGTTAGAAAAATTCAGATTCAGGAAGGATATAGGAAAGTACTGGTTTGGTAATAGAGTTGTGGATGAGCGGAACAAACTCCCAAGTACAGTCCTAGAGGCCAGAATGTTGTGTAGCTTTAAAAATAGGTTGGATAAATACATGAGTGGGTGTGGGTGGGTGTGAGTTGGACCTGATTAGCTTGTGCTACCAGGACGGTTGCCGTGTTCCTCCCTTAAGTCAAGGTGACCTGACCTGACTAGGTTGGGTGCATTGGCTTAAGCCGGTAGGAGACTTGGACCTGCCTCGCATGGGCCAGTAGGCCTGCTGCAGTGTTCCTTCGTTCTTATGTTCTTACCGAGGTTACAATGTATCTTATTATTTTATTTAATAAAAAAATTATAAACTTTGCAGTTAATTTAAATAAAGTATTGAGTAAAATTTATATACAGCACAATTGCACATCTGGCATGATGATATTTTGTATTCTTAATATTTTGCTACTGAAATCTGAAAGGCTGTGATATCACAGAAATTGTCAGAGTTGTTTATGCCATAAAGTTTGGAGAGAGAGCATTTCATGTGAAACTGGTCTTAGGCACATGACAGGAAAATTTCCTCTGCACCTACAGTGACGTTATTGTTTTAATGAAAGATCCTAGCTTGGATCTTTGGTATACTGTACACAGCCTTCCATGCTGCCAGTTGTCTCATGACTGCATATTATACCATACCTTCTCCAGTGTTCACCACTTCATTTTCAATCTTTTTATCAATCCATTTTGCCTGTCAATATTAATCATGGCATAAAAAATGGAATACTAGTGACAATGAAGTTGCCAAGAAAAATTTTAAGTGTGACACTATGTCTATTATGAAATAACTGTAAGTGATAGAGATGCTATGGTCACGGAAGCAGCACGTGTGTTCAGTGTTAGAGAATCAACTAACTGTTCAATTCAAGACAATGAGATGAAGATAAGAGCATGTGTCATGAGTAACCCTGACTGTGGCCTGGTGAAAATAATATCAAGAGGACAATATGGTTGAATAAGACTTTAAAGTTACTAAATGTGTGGAGTGAGCAGAAAACAACCAAAAATGCTCCACTTAATGCCCTTATGATAAGGGTGTGTGCCACTTGTATTATAAAACAGTGTGTGAGCAGGATGACAAGCCTGTACAAGAGTATTTGTGCTCCTGCTTACACAGGATGGCAAGCCTGTGTGAGCAGGATGATTTACCAATTTTAAAGTGCAGGATATTCCTGCCCACCTGGAGGTCATTTTTAATGAGGGTATCTATGAGCCTAAGCAAGTGTGTAATGCTGATGAGACCGGATTACATTTCAGTAAAATGCCATCTTCAAGGTAACAATTTATTTCTTTATCTTGCTTCTTTGCAGTAATGCATTATGTGATTTTAAGTGCCAGCTAATTCTAATTTACTGCTCCCATAATCCTTGTGTTTTAAAAGATAAAGACTAAACTACTTTGCCTGTTTGGCAGTCTAACATAAGAGCATATGTATATGAATGAGGTCTTGTTTGTCTACTGGTTCAAGTACTAATTTATTCCTTTCTTCAAGATGTACCTGGCAAAAAAGAACCTTTCATGCAAGGTTTTCCTTACTCTTGATACAGTAGCCATCCTCAAGTCTTGCAGTCTATGGACCCAAATAATAAAGTTTGGTTGTACCACCAAATATGGCATCCTCGAAACAATCACTGGATCAAGGAGTGATTAAGAAATTTAAGGGCCCCTGCATATGGAAGGTGGTGCAGAAAATCCTCCACAATCCCTTAGGTTTGTCAGGACAGTCAGTGTTTAACAATTTAGCTGAACTGTGCCAAAATTATCAAAAGGGTACTACACTGTATATGATAGAAGCAATAACTTATATAGTACAGTGGTACCTCGGTACACGTCCTCTTTGGAATAAGTCCAACTTGGTACACGTCCTGTTTGGACGCAAAAACTTTTGCTTGGTATACAACCTATGTTTGGAATACGACTCGCATGCTAGAACTTGTATGGGTCAAAACGAGTCACAACACCATGCACTATCCTTGTTTACCTCTCTCTTGAGACAAAGCCATGACTGCCCACTAGCGTCAGTATGCCCGTTGCTACCATTCAGTGATTTTTAGTAAAAGTAAAACCTGGTGAGCTTCAACCAGGTCCAAATATGAAAAAAGAGACAGAAAAGAGAAGGGGACTTTCCTTCCAAACAATAACATTTCCTCCTCCTCCTCCTCCTCCTCCTCCTCCTCCTCCTCCTCCTCCCTTCTCAGCACTATCCTAGTAGGCACTCGACTATTTTCAGCAAAGTAAAGTGAAGTTAAATTTGCATTTATTTTATCTAATTCTTTTGCATTTATGTATGTATTTTAGTATTAAGCAATGTTTAAATTATGCATTTTAGTATTAAGCAGTGTTTAAATTATTTTATACAACCCCATCAATGTATAATATGCCAATAACAACAGGATTTTTTTTTATCGGAACGGATTAATCGTTTTCCCTATATTTCTTATGGGAAAATTCGTTTGGTATTCGTCCTGTTTGGTATCAGTTCAAGCTCCTGGAATGGATTAAGGACATATACATACCAAGGTACCACCGCATATATATTCTTCTCGCTCACTTCAACTTACCTGAAACTGCTAATCTCAGTGGAGGTGACATGTAAGGCCGAACACGATAGTTCAACCACTGAATATACTGAGGGTCTGCTGTGATCTGTCTTAAGCCTTTATCATCACCACACAAAGCAGCTAAATGAAGTCTGACATCATCATCATCATCTGCATCAACCATATGGTTCATCAAATAGGCATGTGCAGAGATCTGTAGTGGCAGTTCTACTGTATTGGCCATGCCTCCTGAAATCAAGTATGGATTGAAGAACTGGCAATTTACCCTGCTGCACATTAATTTTATTAGGAGACAGACTAAAAAAAATCTTAATATAGAGAAAATGTTTGAAGATATTAAGATTTTGACCAGCCTCTCAATGCATTAGTAAATCCTGATTTAACAGACTAGTGGGGGTTAGTGGGTGATTGTGGTGCACAAAGATAAGATCATTTTCCAGGCATTATAACAGTAGTGGCTAATTCTGTAAGCAACAAACTTTGTTTGTTGTTTCTGAACAAACTGACCCAGCACATTTTGTCCTGTAATTATAAAGTTCATTAAACTGAGATGTGTTAAATCAAGAGTTTACTAAGATATAATCTAGGTAATATCTCAATACTCTTTCTCAAAAAGAGATATGCCTTGAGATATTAACAACCCTACATAAAAAATGTTTCCAAAACAGTATATGCAGTACAATGAAATGAAAATACAGTGGTACCTCAAGTTTCAAACAGCTCCCAACTCGAACACTTATGTAAGTGTATTTTTGTAGGTGGTTTTTTAAGCATATTTTTGGGGGTCTGAAATGGACTAATCTAATTTACATTATTCCTTATGGGAACAAATTCGTTCGGTAATGGCACTTGAACAGCCTTCTGGAATGAATTATGGCCAAAACTCGAGGTACCACTGTATAATCATACATTAGCAAACTTAAAAACAGACTAACAAGGAAGGTGTGAAGGTTTTGAGAAGTATGCATTCACTTGTTAAATACAAGGAAATTTATATGAACTTAAGATGTTGATCTCCCGGTTTAACAAATACATATACAGTACTTATGTAAAAGAAGCCAAACTTTAGAACAAAGTTGGTCTTCCTGTCTGTATGAACTTTTACTCTTTGTTGGCCCTTATCTTGATACATCATACAATGGAACTGTACTATGTTTGTGCAGTGACATTCAACTTAAATTATTAATATTTTAACAGGGCAGCCAGTAAGATGCAGTGCAATCTAATGGAACAATTAAGTACATACATTTAAGTGTGGAAATATAATGGAAACTATGCTATAACTTTTTTTGTACAGTAATACAATTAAAGAGAATGAGTTTATTTTTTATCTGATAGGTCGTCATGCTGAACAATCTCGCAAAAACACAATGGTATACATACTGCATTTCTATTACCAAAAATTTTATAGCTCTATATATATTATATATTATTGTATATTCCAACTTTGTGAACTGAAATTATTGCAGTAATATTAAAACTATAAGTTTCCCAACTGTTGAAGTACACAAGAGCTGATTAGTGTTGTTTAGTTAGTTTAATATGTTTATTATGCACCCCAGACCCATCCTGTGGGTGGTAGTCAAAACATTACAGAGGTACATAATTGGTCCAGGGACTGGACTCCAAAGTTTTGATAGCTGAGCAAGTAACAACCGTAATGAACTAGATATGGTCACAATTGTGACCAAGTACAAAGGTAATGAGCTCCATGTAGAGCTGGTCACACTCATAACAGTGGTGTTCGTAGATACCAGACTACCAGTACTATGCAGTACAGTACATATATGCAACATGGCTGGAGTTTTGAGACTCTATGACCGCGGGTTCAATCCCGGCCGGGGGTATGGTTTAGTATATGCAAAATATTCAACAACCATAATAACTGCTAGTGTTAGAAGCATTTATCTGAAATGCCATAAGCGACCTTCTCTATTACTTCTTATTACTGTACTGTACCGAAAATTACACTAGTGGCGACTAGCATATTACATGATAATTATTGTTAGTTTTTGTAATTTATTTATATTTGAAGGCTGCATTTTATTTGCATTTGAAGGTTTTTGAAGCCTTGTATCTGTAGGTGAGAATTATTGAACAGAACTGAGAATCAGTAGCACACATGTACCTGATGAAGTAACTCAACCAGAAAATAATTTCCGTCATAAGGTTTTACCTTGAATGCACATATTCAGTGACTTTATTGTTTGCTAGTTTTATATTTTTTATTGTGCTGTGTATAAATTTTATGGCTGACTGTCTTATGCAGTCAAAATGCTTAGTAAATATCACAATTACTAGTGCCTGTGACATACCTCTGACCAGGTTCAAGTCCTACTCTCAACACCTGGCCTGAGGTCAAGCCTGTTAGATTAGATGGTCAACTAGGCTGTTGCTACCAGCATACCTATTTATTAGCATCACAAATATTTCATAGTACGTAAAAGGGGAAAACTAAATTCATATTCATATTTTCATCACAAAGTATATGTAAATAAGAGAGATTCTTATCCCAAATGCTAGAGCCTGAAATCTGCCTGAAATGCCTAGGCTTATTAGGCATGCTTGTGGCTTTCTTTGTAATTGTTGTTTTATAATATGAAAAACCACCCATTGTAATTTTTACAGAGAAATAAACAATTCAATAAGCAACACTTGTTTATTCAACCAAAATACAAAATAAGTGTAAACCATAGGTTTAGAGTGCCAAGTGTGTAAAACATGGTAATGAGCCTACCTGCAGCAGCCCTGGCAGAGGTAGGAACCAGCAACATAGTTTTAAGAGTAAAATTTTTTGCTTCATCTGGCAGTCACCAACCCGCACCTCACACAGCATCAGCTGGACCCCACCTGCCAGGAGTAAAAAATATATAATATTGAGCCACTTGTTTTACTCACTGGTTAAGATTACTGTGTATAAATTTATCACTGGGTATAAATACACTGAAAATAGTGTTAATGTAATGAATAACAGTAATATTGTTGTCAGTCACCTGTCTGTTATTCTTGACACTGACGTCATCAGCCTCTCCCCTCAGTCCTCACATCCAGAAATTTTTTTCTCATTTAAACTAGTAGGGTTTAAATTACAAGATTTAATTATACTTGAGAACAATACCCCCCCCCAAAAAAAAAAAAAGAGTTTAACATTCTCGTATATTTGTTTGCGTTGATCATTACATTAGATAGACTTCTCATTCTTCCAAGCCAGCACGAAATTTAGCATTTTTCCCTGGAAGGAGCATTTTCACATATACATTGAAACCTGAACTGTTGCCCCTCAGTCTTTAATATTTACTTATATTTTTAATAATATGAACCACTTTCCTTTTCCTTGCACTTCCTCTTACTACCGACCACAAGCTGAGAAAGGGAGTGCAGAATAAACATTTTATCTCATAACGGAGATAAAACACCTCAATTACTGGGAGCGCTTGAGGTTTCTAAACCTGTATTCCCGGGAACGCAGGAGGGAGAGATACATGATTATATACACCTGGAAAATCCTAGAGGGACTAGTACCGAACTTGCACACGAAAATCACTCACTACGAAAGCAAAAGACTTGGCAGATGATGCCCCAAACCCCCCAATGAAAACCCAGGGGTGTCACTAGCACTTTTAAGAGACCATACAATAAGTGTCAGGGCCCGAGACTGTTCAACTGCCCCCCAGCACACATAAGGGGGATTACCAACAGACCCCTGGCAGTCTCAAGCGGGCACGGGACAAGCACCTAAAGTCAGTTCCTGATCAGCCGGGCTGTGGCTCGTACGTTGGTTTGCGTGCAGCCACCCACGCAACAGCCTGGTTGATCAGGCGCTGATCCCCCAGGAGGCCTGGTCACAGACCGGGGCCCCGGGGGCGTTGACCCCCGAAACTCTCTCCAGGTAAACTCCAGGGCCAAGGCGGTATATAACTCCAGGTATTTACATGTATAGCTCCCTTTTTGCGGTAAAGAGGCTTTCGGTCTGAGGGAAATTGGACCTTTTGGTTTTTTTTCCTCCGACCACCCTAATTACTCCAAATCCCCCCTTCCTTGCCCTCTACTCCCTTTCCCTTCCCATCCCTCCTCCTTACCCCATCCCCCTCTTCATTTCCTGCTATTAGCCTTTGGGGTCCTCCCCTCAGCAATTCTAGTTCCTAGGCTGGAGAAAGTGGTCTTATCCATCCCATTCCATTGAGGTCCTTGGTGGTGGTGGTGGGCTGCCGTGGTATCTGGATCACTGGGGAAAGGTCCCGATCTCCTTCAGAGTTCTGGGGGTGGCTTAGGGTGTCCTTCTGATGACGAGTGCATCTCTGGAGGCTGCCTGTTGGTTCCGGGAGGTAGTTCCTAAGAGAGGTATGCTTTGTGGCTGGTTTCCCGGCCGCCCATTCTTTTATCCACCGAGATGTCTCGGTGAGTGTGAGGTTGCTATCCTGGATTGCTGGTTTACTGGCATGACGGATAGGGTATAGCAAGGGTTCTAAGCTGCATCTTCACTGCTGGCTACACTGACAGCCCTCTTAGGCATGCAAGGGGATATACAGTTCCTTTCATTCCTCCTGGGAGCTATCCCTCCATATTCTCCCACCCCCTTTTTTTCCATTTTCTCCTTCTTTTTTAATAAATAAATAAAAAGGAAACTTATCATAGAGACCCATACCTATGACTTGCCTCCTCCCGGACACCTTTCCTGCAGCACCCCCTAGACCCTGGTACGTCTTCGGACCATTCTTCGGACCTCTCTTCCAACCCGGCACCTTCTCCAGGTAACGTTCCCTTACCCTCCTCTGGTACCGCGGTTCCGACCGACCCTTTAGACACTTCTGATCTTCGCACGGCTTTGACTATGATTCCAGATATGACTATGATCTTGGCTTCTCCACATACAGTGTGTCGATTTTTGGATCATACACATAACTCAGGATGGCCCGCCTTTAACCTTCCATCCAAATGATCTCGACCTGTACACCTGGAAAGGGCTCCGGAGGTCAACGCCCCGCGTCCCGGCTGTGACCAGGCCTCATGGTGGATCAGGGCCAGATCAACCAGGCTGTTACTGTTACGAATTACAGCCCGGGTGGTCAGGTACTGACTTTAGGTGCCTGTCCAGTGCCTGCTTGAAGACAGCCAGGGGTCTATTGGTAATCCCCCTTATGTATGCTGGGAGGGAGTTGAACAGTCTTGGGTCCCTGACACTTACTATGTTGTTTCTTATGGTGCAAGTGGCACCCCTGCTTGTCATTGGGGGGATGTTGCATCGTGTGTCGAGTCTCTTGCTTTCATAGGGAGTGATTTTTCGTGTGCAAGTTTGGTACTAATCCCTATAGGATTTTCCAAGTGTATATAATCATGAATCTCTCCCACCTGCGTTCTAGGGAGTACAAGCTTAGGAACTTTAAGTGTTCCCAGTAATTGAGGTGTTTTATCGCAGTTATGTGTGCTATGAAGGTTCTCTGTACATTTTCTAGGTCAGCCATTTCACCTGCCTTGAAAGGTGTAAGTAAGTAAGTAAGTTTATTCAGGTATACACAAATATAGTTACACAGATTATCATACATAGCAGCATAAAGACTGATGAAAACTCACACTCACGCGAGCTTTTAAATCTCTGCACAAATTCAATTTAAACCAGCAAATAATAGAACCTACTAGACTGGAGAATACACTAGACCTCATCTTCACTAACAATGATGATCTGATAAGAAATGTCACCATATCAAAAACAATATACTCAGATCACAACATAATTGAGGTTCAGACATGTATGCGTGGAGCCCCACACCGACAAAATGAGATTAGTCACGAGGGAGCATTCACCAAATTCAACTTCAATAACAAAAACATAAAGTGGGACCAAGTAAACCAAGTCCTAACCGATATAAGCTGGGAAGATTATACAAGTAACACAGACCCCAACTTATGCCTAGAACAGATTAACTCGGTGGCACTCGATGTATGCACAAGGCTTATTCCTCTAAGAAAAAGGAGGAGTAGATGTAAAATAGAAAGAGACAGGCGCTCCCTTTACAGGCGACGAAAAGAATAACAGAGCGGCTAAAAGAGGTCAATATATCTGAAATGCGTAGGGAGACACTTGTCAGAGAAATAGCAAGCATCGAACTTAAGCTAAAAGAATCCTTTAGGAGTCAGGAATCGCGGGAAGAACTAAAAGCCATAAATGAAATCGAAAGAAACCCAAAGTATTTCTTCTCCTATGCCAAATCAAAATCGAGAACAACGTCCAGTATTGGGCCCCCTTAAACAAGACGGGTCCTACACAGATACAGCAAGGAAATGAGTGAGCTACTCAAGTTTCCAATATGACTCAGTTTTTAGCAAGCCCTAAACCAGACTGAGAGTCGAAGTCAAAATTATTTTTTATGAGAGAGCCACAAAATTTGATTAACACAAGCCTATCCGATGTTATCCTGACGCCAAATGACTTCGAACAGGCGATAAATGACATGCCCATGCACTCTGCCCCAGGGCCAGACTCATGGAACTCTGTGTTCATCAAGAACGAGCCTTTTCCATCCTATGGAGAGGGAGCATGGACACGGGGGTCGTCCCACAGTTACTAAAAAACAACAGACATAGCCCCACTCCACAAAGGGGGCAGTAAAGCACAGCAAAGAACTACAGACCAATAGCACTAACATCCCATATCATAAAAAGCTTTGAAAGGGTCCTAAGAAGCAAGATCACCACCCATTTAGAAACCCATCAGTTACACAACCCAGGGCAACATGGGTTTAGAACAGGTCGCTCCTGTCTGTCTCAACTATTGGATCACTACGACAAGGTTCCTAAATGCACTAGAAGACAAAAAGAATGCAGATGTAATATATACAGACTTTGCAAAAGCCTTCGACAAGTGTGACCATGGCGTAATAGCGCACAAAATGCGTGCTAAAGGAATAACAGGAAAAGTCGGTCGATGGATCTATAATTTCCTCACTAACAGAACACAGAGAGTAGTCGTCAACAGAGTAAACTCCGAGGCAGCTACGGTGAAAAGCTCTGTTCCACAAGGCACAGTACTCGCTCCCATCTTGTTCCTCATCCTCATATCCGACATGGACAAGGATGTCAAATTCAAATTTTTCAAATTCAAATTCAAATTCAAAGTTTATTCTCTATAAGGATTACAATGCTGAGTTTACAGAAATTTGGTTATTGTTTGGTTTACATGTAGTAAAATTGTGATTACAGAGTGTACCACTAGAACGCTTAGCATGGCTAGGCATTTCGGGCATACTTAGTTTTATTCTTAATTGTAAAATATTACAAATTATGAGGTAAGTTGGTATTATGGCTAAGTGACTAAATACTAGTTTGTGAGTTTAGTAATGTGAATGCTTTTGTTTTGGCACAGTACATAGTTTCAGTATTGGAGTTATCACAGGATCATTATTTTAAGACTGAGATTAATATTTCCGTTTATGGTCAATGAGTGAGTGAGTGTAAGTGTGAACCACCAGGTGGTATTCGTGTAGTTAGTTTGACGGGGTGTATCAGGGAGATAAGATGTTTTCTAATGGTAGTTTTGAAGGTGATGAATGTGTCTGCAGTTCTAGAGTTCTCAGGTAGGGTATTCCAGATTTTAGGGCCTTTGACATACATTGAATTTTTGTAAAGGTTTAGTCGGACACGGGGAATGTCGTAGAGATGTTTGTGTCTGGTGTTATGCCTGTGGGTTCTGTCACAACTATCAAGAAAGCGTTTTAGGTCAAGGTTGATATTAGAGTTTAAGGCCCTGTAGATATAGATTGCACAGTAGTAAGTGTGGATGTACTGAACTGGGAGCAAGTTTAGATCTATGAAGAGTGGGGGGTGTGTTGCCAGGGATGGGATTTAGTG